ACTATTTGACTTACCAAGCCAGAAACGGCAGCTGTCGTGGTTGCTATTGCCGGGACAATTCTGCCTGCTATTTTCTTGGTCTTTAATCTGTCTGCATTCTCAATACTGTACATATTGGCTCGCAGGTTGGATGCACTGGTGATAAAGTCAATGTGGCCATTGCTGTCATCGTCTTTTTCAAATTCAACTTCAGACATAGCCAGACATTCTAAAATCAAAACATAATATTCATGTCAATGAAATCACAATCGGTCATTAGAATGGCATCACTGCCAAAAAACTTGGGTTACTTTCTTTGGTCCATTTTCACACAGACACAGGTCTTGAAATGACCCACTAATTTAGTGTTTTAGTTCAGCTGTGTGAAAGGGGATTAATAGACCGAAATAGTCAAGAAAACAAAGCTGCTGTAGTGAGTATGACATCAAAACAAACCACGGTTGAATAAAACTTTGACAGTTTTTAAAACATCATAAACTAACTTAAATATTCCTTTAATAAACATCAAAATTTTGACTCGTTAAATTTGAAACATCTTACACTACAATTCAACAATTTTAAATTTGTCCAATAGTTTAAATATGTCATACAGAGATTGCAACAAAATGACTTGGTGACAGTATTGAAGCTGAATGTGTACCGCTAAATCAGCAACGATCTCTTAGTCAGCACTGGATGTGTTGAGTCGCACAAGCGATTGGCCTAGGCCCCTAGAAGCCTCTCAAAACTCTTCATATTTTTAGTCTGAATGGAAATTTAAATCAAATCAACCTTAAACTCATGAATCTATGAATCATTCAAAATGTATACGCTGTTATAAAAAGTATATTCTACACTAACTTCATTACATTTTAGACGATTTAACATACACCACTGTCGACTCCGCTCAATGCATCAGCATAGCTCTTTGGGCATATTTACAACTTTAATACACAATCAGCGAAATCGTGATGACGTCATCTTTGGTGTCATCTTTGGTGACTAATTCGGTCCATTGCAGCACATTTATCAAAAAAATCATAAATCATTTGTTTTGTTACCTTCTTGAGCTCGCTTGTTTGCAATCAAGGATGCCAAATATTTCTTGCATTTTTCCATTTCTTCTTCACAATCGCTACCTTCCATCGATGCATCCATCTCCTCCTTCTTTGCTGATTCGTCTGTAACTATTGTCTGAAAACAAAATCAACAGTCAGTTCATGTGGTAAATGAACAGACTTTTAATAGGTTCAAGATTTAAAATTACAGTTTAAAAAAACTACTGTATCAATATTTAATTGCTTACTTTGTGTTTGTATTCAAAATACATGTGAAGCGCGGAGATCCTTTTTCCCCTCGATTCAATCCCATCCATTGCTCTTCTTGCATTTCAGCTGGAGGGCTGAAATATAAGTTAAGGACAGCGCACCATCTTTCGGATGAGACTTTTAAGCTGTTGGTCCCATGTACAATATGGCCCCTGTGTTTGTTGAAGAATGCAGTACACTCTTCAGAAAAGAGTACAAAAGATTGTCTCCCGATGTACTGCCAAATTCACCATCGGGAGGACCCCCCACTGGAAACAAGTCTTCAGACTTGTTGGATTATCCATTGTGTGATTCACACCAAAAAAATTCTACCCAATCCTAACATATCAATAACCAAGATTATTCCAAAAGATGATCAATAATCAATTAAAATTTTGAATCCTAAATTGTGATAACATATACCATTTGAATTGATACCTACAATATTGTGTTTGACAGCTGTTGAAATGAAAGCTATCTGCCATACTACCTATATTTACAGTAATTACAAATGCCCATGTGACCTAGTTATTGTGGAGATGAATTGAATATGATACAAATGATTCTAGATATTTTTTTACACATGGGCTGCAGTGAGAGACAAGTAAAAATTGTCTAGAAATGACATAAGATTGAGATGGTTATTGTATATAAAGAAATACAATATCCTATCTATTAAAATAGACTAACCTTTGACTTTGGAATGAATTCTGGTACTTGTACTGATCGGATAATGCTAATCACGTTGGTATGTTCCAAATCTTGGCCAGAGACAGGAATATTACTTATGAATGCACAAAGACGAGCAACGCTTATCACAAATGTTGTATGTCTGCAGAAATGCAAAATGTGAAGATATTTGTTACTATGAAAAAATTAAATTAAAAAAAATGATACCTAGTAAATGAGCTACTGTTTTTCCTATATGTCTGAGACAGTTCTACACAGTTTTTACTCTACAGTATTTCAAGCAGGCAAATGCCTTTGATCTTTGATCCATGTGATTTGGTTTTTGATGAAAGGCAAATGGTTAATCAACCACCCACACCCACATTCCAAGGACCTGACTTAACATATCGGAGAATACTTCAACTTCATCCTGGACTCTACGTTCTTCCAATCAACAACTCCTCTATATACACAGACTGGGGTCTTTTGGAAAAAGAGCTTTC